AACGCTTTTAAATTTTTTTAAAATCATTCTTTATATTAATAATTTGGTTTCAAAATGGTTACTGCTCTGATGGTATATTGAAAAATTTGTTTGATTATTTCTTAAGCGTGTCTTTTGCAAAGGATTATTTTATCATCAATATGATACCTAACAAGCACAGGCTCACCATGGCGTATGAGTAATAAATTAATGGAAGGGAATGGCAATGAGAGATTCACAATACATACATATAATACATACTTACCTATATGTACATGCGATTTGTCAACGCTGAGGCGATTTTCGCTAGGTCTCTCCACATCTCCACATCTTATTATAATAAACCTCCGAACGACCAACATATTGAGGCAAACGATTGCAGTTGTTGAGAAGAGAGCAATATATAATATAAACCAAAAGGTAAATCTGCAAATTCGCCTCTTTTCATTCACTACCAGACGAAACATTAAATCATTGGCGTGGCATGCTTATCACTTTAATAGAAAGTCAAAGTCCCGGTCGTATCCGAAAATAGCAGCACACCTACATATATTATCAAACAATATTTGTATTTATTTTTTTTTAAACATTATTTTTATACCCATCTCCAGTGTGTACATTAGGCGCAAAAGCATTGTTCGACTAACAGTTTTATGTAACAGTATAAAATTCATTTCACATAAAACTTTCCTTATTTCACAGAGCGAAACAACCAAGGTATATTGCAGAATGAAGGCATTAACTTTCTTAAAAATTTCATTTAACTGTTTTTTTTTATTTTTGACCCTTATAAGAACTTTAAATTCATGTATATATATTAAAGAGCTCAGGACAACTCGATTTAGCTACATGTCTTCCATGCGTACTTTTTCATGTAAATATATAATATAATACACGCGGTAAAGTAAGGATTATCTATAGCAGTAGATCTTACCTCATTGGTGTCACATATTTTGAGATTCGATTATAACTGTTAACTGACGCAAACTTCTTTTCGATACGGTCTAGTCTGTACCCTATGAGTGAAATAGTCAAATTTCTTGCATCATCATTTCGTACATATCTATATTTATTATATATACTATAGGGTCTTACATATGTACATATGAGCATGTTTTATTTTTTTTTCATTTATATGCTTCCTGTAGTTCGTAGTCTCGTTGATAACAGCGTCTATGACAATTGCTCCTAAATTAATCACTACTACTTTGTAAATTTTTCGGGTACGTATGTATGTGCTTACTAATTTTTGTTATTATTATTATATATGAATATAATATTATTATATTTACATATAAATATAAATTTTCGGTACTTATCGCCCATTAAAATAAAGGTATAATGGAACTTGGTTTTTGTTGTTGTTGTTGTTGTAACCGCAAAATATTTCTCAAAGTAATTTTTAGAGAATGTTGCGGGAGTGACAGTCCTTGGCCGGATAAAAAAAAATGCGGGTCGTTCCGGTATAAAGACCCAACTGTCGCGGGAACTGTTGGATTTTAGGCAGGCATGCCTTACTGCGGGTGAAATTCTTGAACTCCTAACCCACAGGGGGAGGGGCTTGGTCATTAACACATGATATATTTCGAATTAAAAAGACAAAAGCGCCGTAAATATGAATTCTATATATGGAAAGAAGGATAAATTCAGCAGCCATTTTTGCCAATTATAGTTGGTAGTCATCTTTTAAGATCTCCTGATATTAAATGTTAAGTGTCTTTCGAGGGCGTTTCAGAGGCAGTGTTGCTAAAAAAACTGCATTTAAATTTACTAATATGCAATAGATAACCGTTCCAGTAACGCAAATATTTATGTCAGCTAATTCGATTTAGAATTTCTGAAATCAGTCGATGAAATCAAATAAAAGAAAGTTATTTTTACATCTTTCTTACTTCATTATTCGTTTTAAATTCACAATAATATTTTAATTTTAAACATTTTTTTTTGTCAAAAATTCAACCCCATAATCCCAAATCGATTCCATAAAAACTGGTTCGAATTGGCACGAGCCAGCAGCGTAGTGAACCGTACATATATTTTAATGCGTATAATTATTAATTATATGTGTAACATATCTATGTATGTACGAATATGTCGAATTTATAAATAAAAAATCACTTCAAATTTTTTCTTGATTAGCATACTCTTATATACATATATTCATATGTATGTTTGTATGTATGTATATGTAAGTAAATGAGTCTAACTGAAAAATTTCGGCGTTTAATCAGTAATCGAAGCGTAGACATGATTCACGTGTTCCAACCAAACACTTGACCAACGTTCGCATGATCGCGTACCTGCTGGGGAAAATACTAGCTGTCAACTGGAATCCAACTAGTTAAAATTTCTACACGAACTAGTTCATCTTGGTCCATTTTCCACATAAGCGACTGATATATTTATCAAGGCGATGTCCTTCAAACTGATAATTGTCTTACTATGCATCAGCTTAATACTAGTATTATACTAGTTTATTTAGGCGTGTTGAGTTTCTACTTCACCAAAAGTAAAAATAAAAATAAAGAAAACAATTAAAAAGGCGAGAATCGAACCGAATCCTCATGCACCGCAGTGAAGACCTCTATCATTACGTTATCGTCATGTTGTAAAAAGAACTTTTTAGGAAGTGAAACTCAACCATGGCGTACTTAAAAAAAAAACAACGACGTACGCATGACGGAGTGGTGAAAATTTCTAGTGCTCCAAAAATTAAAAAAAAAAACATTAAAAATTAGTTTGCCTCTGGTGGGACTCGAACCTACAGCCTGACGCCGATAACGTCCTATCCAGTCGGCTATCGTGGCGATGTAACGACCAACGTCATTTTGCGCACTTCAATTGAACAGAGCATCAAACAACAAACGATGGTGGAAATTTTTATTTCTCCCGTTACTGGTGGACTTCTTTACTAATAACGAACTGGTATGATTTCATCTTCAACATACTAGTATTTAACTAGAATTTTTGCATACTAGTTGGTTTTCCCCTGCATTGGCTTAAACTCGATTATTTCAATCGCAACTGTAGTAGGATGGAGATAAAACATGGGATTGTAATTTTTGAATACCTCACGGCGGCAAAAGTTAATTATTCAAATTTTTTGTAGTGCTATTTTTTCATTTTTTATTGAATTAATTCTCAAAATGTGGGAGTAGTTAATTATTAATTTGCACATCTTTTGATTTTTTTATTTTTGAAAAATCATCAATATTAATCAGTAAATGACTTCGTTGTTTGGCGGGCAATACTGCGTTATCAAATTGTATGGGAGAATGAAATATACGAATTCTAGCAAAACCACTGCCCCTTCTTTGGCTGAACTAATAGTACATAGAATACTGTTAGGCTCATGTATACAAAGAATAAATCTATAAAAAATAGTCAAACGGACCATATAAATAGCCTTGAAATGATAAATGATATCCTGATAAAAGAGAATGAGTAGCTGATACACAAAATTCACCAGTGGTGTGCTTAGTTCTAAGCTCTTAAAGGCAGGTTTGATAATTTCCTTTCATGGCATTGTCTGGAGGATATTTACTATCATAAGGCAACAATCTACATGTAGGCTTTTCGCTGTTTGGCGCCAGTTGGAAGCAGCAGGGTAAGCCAGGTCGCTCTCCACCTGATCCTTCGAACGGAGTGGAGGTCTTCCTCTTCCTCTGCTTCCACCAGCGAGTACTGCATCGAATACTTTCAAAGCTGGAGTACTTTCATCCATTCGAACCAACTGATCTAGCCAGCATATTCGCTGTCTCTTCATTCGCTGAGCTATGTCAATATCATCATTTAGCTCGTACAGCTCATCGTTGGATCGTCTGCGGTATTCCCCGTTGCCAATGCGCAAAGGACCATAAATCGTTCGCAAAACTTTTCTCTCGAATACTCCTATAGCCGCTGCATCAGATATGGATATCATCCACGCATCTGCGACTTGTAGAGAGAGGACTGATCAGTCCAAAGTAGAACCTGTTGGCAAGAGTGGTTCTGCGTTGAATTTCCAAGCTGGGGTTGTTGTTGATGTTAATACTCGTTCCTAGATATATGAAGATATCTACGACGTCAAAGTTATGAACAGTGACGTGGCAGCCGAGTCGCGAATGCGATGACTGTTTATTTGATGGCTTGTTGTGGCCAAAAACGTCAATATCATCGGCATACACCAGCAGCTATACACTCTTATAGAAGTTTACCTTCTCTAGTTAGCGAAAGGTGGTGTTTGTGTATTTGGTTTTGCGTATTTGGTTTTGGTTAAAGATCTTGATGAGAGACATTTTGCTTTGGCATACATATGTATTTTTACATCTCGTCTAATATGTAAAGAATATAAGCAAAATGGATAGTCAATTACGCAAAAAATTTTTTTTGTGTTTTACCATAAATGTTGATAGTTTGTAATTTTGCTTGTGAAAATAAATATATTTGAATAAATTAGAGATAATTTATAATTATCTTATGCATGCCTAAATAAATAAAAGGTAAGATAATAACATTAAGAGTATTATGGTGGAGCAAAATGTATACATGGGTGCACAATATCATCTTTTATAAAATATATAAAATATTACTATTGTCTAAATTATCTAAAATGCTTTTACAAATATAAATAAAAATTCAATGTAACTCTACATAAGAAGTTAATTCAAATAAAAGTTATAATTTTTCATTAATTTTAAGATATTTTGATTTGTTTGCCTTACTGCTTTAACACAAAAATTTTTACCAGATTTTTCCTGCATTAAAAGTTGAAAATATTTCATATTAACAGCACATTGTAATACATTTTTACTAAGTGCTTGTGGGAAATTAAAAACTACATTTTTCCCAAAATCATTAATTCATAACTTTGTAAGAGCTTCAGCTCTTCCGTGTTAATACATAATTCCTTATTTGTTGTTGTATTTGAAAAAATTTCAGTTTCCGCCTTGTCCTTTGATTTCCGTTTTATACATTCACATGAAATTTACCGTATAATCAAAGAACGTAATATACGTTCTTTGTTATTGCCAACGAATTTCTATTGTGAACGGCGCATCACTGCTGTTAACGCATTGTTTTTCATCGGTGATAAAATTTTCATTTGCGTTGCTCTCAACATTTCCTCGCGTATATTCGCATAGATAAGCGTTTTAAATGTAAGTGTTTTGCTAGAACAATGAAGTAAACGATTACTTGCACATTTTCAAAACAGCAAAAAAACTCTTGCAACAAAGTATTACTTCGGGCGGCCGCAACTTCAACGATGGCCTCTACCATGCAGTTGGAATTCTCGCAGGCTATGTCAGATTTTAAGACAATGTTTCCAGACATGGACCGTGAGGTGATTGAAGCAGTGTTACGAGCAAATCAAGGCGCAGTAGATGCCACTATCGATCAGCTGTTAGCTATGTCCACTGATAATCAAAATGAGAAACTGCGCAATGAATTAGATGCCAAAACATCACCACAACGGTGTCTTATAAATTTGCATGGAGATGACACGCAGACTCCAACAGCACAACTAATTGACACAACTGATGGCAGTGCCATAACGGCACATAATACTCAACAGAATGCAGTCGTAGCAGCTAATTCTGTACTATTGAATCTCAGTGGTAAAAACAGTATGAGTGCATCACCCAATCACACAGGTGCATCACCTAAACAACGATTGGTAAGCTCAAACAACAAATCGTCAGCTAGTACAACTCCAAAACGTAGTGGTGGACAGCATGCATCCCGTCGTTGGAATCCACCTTTATTGGGTCCCCTGCCGGCTGGCTTTCTTCGTATAACACCCTCGTCACAAGATGGTTTGGCTCGTGACTTCGATTTGCCGGACGAACAATTTGCAATGATGTTACAAAATGAAGAATTTATGAACCAGTTAAGATGGAATCAGGAATTCATGAATGCGTTAGAGAAAGAGCAATGTGGCAAAGGAAAAGGAGAAGACGATGCAGCATTCAAGGAGCGTCTAAAGCATATGGGAAAAGTGTCACGAAAAAAGTTTTTACAAATGGCTCGTGTTTTTACGTGGCAAAGAAATAAAAAAACCACAACAGCAAAGCAAATAGACTCGTTGCCGTTAAAAGAGGAGCCCAGTGACGATGAAGAACATCACGTGCAACGTAAGTAGAGCGTTATAATCGGCAGCTAACAATCTATTAGTGTATTCAAAAGTTGTTATAAAGATCAATTATTGTTTAAATATTATATAATAGCTTTAATATTATTTTCCTTACTTTGGTGATTACAAAGGAAGATTTATTGTTTTATTTATTTTTTTTAAGCTTTACATAAGATTTCATTTATTTTGTGGGATGCTCATTTGCTTTTCATAGTGATAAGCGAGATCACGTTATATTTACAATAATGTGTCAGTGGTTGTTAAAAAATGCAAAAGTATGCAAAGCTTTGAAAATTGTACATTTTATCTTAAGTAATCTTAGTTATCTGGCAATGTTATAAATAATATGTTCAAACGTAAGATTTGCAAACAATATTCGAGTATGAACTACGATATAATTTCTGGAAAATTTACCGCAGCTACATTTGAGAATGTAAGGGAAAGCACATCATATAGATTTTTAGATTTGCAAAGGCTGATTCTTGTTGTTAAGTATAAAGTATACATACATATGTGATTAAAGAAATTATTGTTTCTAAATTTTAATTGAAACTATAGAAAATAATTTTTTTCTGCAGCTGTAAATAAATTTCTGTATTCTAGTATTTTGTATTAAATTGTTATGTGACATTAAATTGATTAATAAAACCATAGAATTTTATTTACTAATCTAATCAAAACAGCATAAATGTTTATGCATAGTAAAGCTTCCTTATGGTTAATCTCGATTCTCGATTAAATACTTATGATATTACTGATATAAAATGGTTTGATTTAAAAAGAGTTTTGCTGAACTGAATAGATACTTGAAAAAAATACTGCAATATTAACAACAGAAACTCTTTACATAGTCCATGTACTAGGAAATGGCAAATATTAAACATCAATGATCTTAAATATTACACATAAATATAAACATATAAATAGAATAAAGAGCTAAAGAGTACATACATATGTACATAAATATTCCATAGTATCCTAGAAATATAGAAGCCATACTTATTAACTATATTAATAACTCAAATGGTATCCATATAATGTCAAGAGAGAAACGGTTGGTATATCGTAAGATTAAAGTGAAAAGTTGCTAAGACATTTTTAAATAAAAAATTGTATTCTGAGAAAAGATATAATGTAAATTGAAAACATATTGTACGCAAAAACTCCTCATACATGTATGGATTTAAAGCATTATAAAAATGTGATACTAAAACTTCTTATGTTCATATTTGACGAAGAGAACCTCGAACTATAAAATAAAACTAAAGTACATACAAATATACATTTCCACATACAGATATAGACACATTATTTTTGTTGTCTGAAACTATTGTATGAAAGTTCTTATTAAAATATCTATAAAAAAAAAATATTCGGAACCATTTTTGTCTTTTCTGGGCTTAGCAACTTTTTAGTCTAAACTAACGTAATATATTTATATTCTATTGTAATGCAACTATTAAAACGTATATTGCATAGTTCTTAAAAGTAATAACTAGTCACAATGAAAATTATTTAAATTTAAGTGAAATGTTACTTAGTTTTGAATCAGTTTTTGCCTTACATATATCAGATTTATAAGTTTCACCTTTGTTTTTATTTGAACAATTCCTTGTATTTTAGTGTGAGGTATACATTAGAGTTGTCCATCAGTGTAGACAACAAATTTCCTTGTCAAACTTCGAACAGACGAAAAAATCTATACATTATATTGATCCTATAGCAATGAATCTTTCTTTCCACAATTGCATGGTATTATATGTCCTTTGTATGCAGTCAGTCAGTTAGTAGTAATTGCGTGATAAGAAAAGATTTACTTCACAAATGTACCTAACTCTCTGTCTTTGTGATGTTTTAGTAGCTAAAAATTGTTACGGTTTTTGTACTTCCACATATGGTGTGTTTTAAAAGTCAAAACTATGATAGACACATCCGCAATTTTTCTCTTTTATTATACTTTACACATACTACATTTGTATATATTTCCCTTAGTATATAATCAACAGAAGCGGAGTGTGTAAAAGACTAGTTAAATGTCTAAATACTGAGTACGAAATCAAAAAACCGAATGTATAAAATGTTTTTTGTTTTTTTTTTTTTGTTTTGTCCCATAAAGTGCATATAAAATGCATACATAATGTGTGCCAAATACTGAATCCGATTGAGACTTTCATTTAATACCTTGTTAAGGCATATTTATGCTCTACTTATACTTTTAAAATTTATAGGATTTAAATTTCAAACCAAAAAGCAGATAAACGATAAAGATCAAACATTTTCAAACAAGTAGTTCGACTCATGATAACAAATTCTGCATTTTCTTTTTGTATTCATAATGCTTAAGGGGATTATTACTATCGCTTTTGGCATAAGTGTTTTACTAAAAAAATTAGGAAAAAGTCCTACTACCTGCTCAACGTATCAAGAGGTAGGCAAAATTTATTTCAGACGCATATCTACACATGTAACTCTTACAAATAGAAACATATGTATGTTTTGATAAAAAACAAAGAAAGTTTTTCCAAATAAAAAGTTGAAAAAAATTTATTAAGTATATTTTTATCTTCAATTTAAATTATGTCATATTTACAATGATAATTTAAACTTTTTATCAGCGGTATAATGTTCAAATTAAGCAAATGTGTAGGAGTATCTTTATTGGCTTCAAAAGTTTTTGAGCAAGTACGTATAGTTCGAAATAATGTAAAAAAAAAGTTTAATACCTTCTCTGTAATAATGATTTTTGTAATCCTTTTCTTCAAAGTTATAATTATAAATATACAAATTTTTTAAGAAATTAAGCAAAAATTTTAAATTACGACAGATTCAAAGATGTATAACGCATAAATATAACATTGAAATATAGAAAGAAATGCATATGTACAACATCTATCTATTCCACATGCACAGTATGTAATCGTAAAATAGAATAAACTTAAATACATACATACATGAGTAAGAAATAATTATGGCGATTTATATTCTTTCAAAAATCCATGAAAATAATCATGCTTGCCCAATAACAATTATGTATGTACATATGTTTAATTAGAGTTTACCAGGAATATACTAAACATATATGAATAAATGTTTTAAAACACTTACAACATAAATTCATTAGGCGTAAACAAAATCTTACCTGGAAGCCGAACCTCGTTTTGCAAAACGGTAATATAAATAGTTAATTAACTTTTTCATTTTACTTACGATTCGTGTTCAGAGAAAAATGAAACGAAAATCCAAAAAAAATTTTCCCCATAATTCTCAACTATTCTGCAACACAGTTTTCACGTAGTAGCGGGAGTCGCGTGAATGACTTCATCTCGTCGCGGTGGGCTTGTGTGTGGACATAAGTTTTCCAGGCCAATTAAAGTCTACATAGACCCACTATGGACTCAGATAAAAGTATTGTATATTTTATTAAGTGCAACAATCCACACCCATATATCTAACTGCAACAGATTCGAGAGGAAGATGGAGTCGGCTTCAAGAACTGGAAACCCCTGTCAGTATTTGTGGCATAGGAACCCAAGCTAAACGATGGCCGCCGAAACATTTTCCAAAAACTACTTTGGGGAATATTTTTGCGGTTACAACAACAAAATGACTTAGATTTTCTGAATTGTGCCGGTTTCAACGTAAGGATCTCAAGCAAGTAAGTTTGCGGAAATACACCCAAATTTAGCAACAAAGTGTGAATGCTTACTCCAAGCCGATACCGAAGATCCTTAAATGAGAAGATGTATCAAATCGGTATTTGTTAAACGAAAATCAACGGACCTTATAGGAATCTCTACAAGAAGCCAAGCTATAGACCACAGTCAAACCCAACGAGACGCGATGGCCTGGTAGGGCTTTCGTTCCGTGACACCGCTTCATTGGTCGCAAAGAAGTACTTGAGCTATTTTAGCCGGCGTGAACAAAACGTTGCCCACTGTCTATGTAAAATGACGAAAATCAGCTCAATCCTTGATTTTTCTTGGGAGGAGGTTGTCTACTTTTCACTAAGGACCTCAATTTGTTTCTGCTCACCCTAACAATATCCAACGTGTATATAATAAGATTTATATTTCGCAGCTTGATCCCCCTTCACCATAGGGGCGTGTCACTGGTATCACATGACGATGTCTCCTTTATTCAAAAGTATACCCTGGAAACCATTTTGCGTACTATTTTTCCGGTTACTAAAACAGCAATAGCAACAGGGATATTAGTAGAAAAAACTTAGGAATCTGTCGCCGGAATCTGCAGTGAATCCCTTCAAAAGTCGAAGGAGCTAACATAGAAGTAAGACCTGAACTACTGCTCGCGCCGTGTTGCCTCAGGAGAGAAACACCAAAACCACTCTCAAGAGCAAAGCAGTACTCGCTGATTTGTTTCGGGAGATAGCCATGCATCAGACATCACACCTACTGGAAACTAAACAGCGATCAGAAGTGATCTCGTCTTCTTCGGTATAGCGCTAAAACACAAATCATCAACCAGAAGGGAAACATCTCTTAAGTAAATACATGCGAACGTGGGGATTTTAGACCTCTGCAAAGGCAATATTCACCCACGTGACCTCATTAAGAGGACGAAAAATGGACAGGGGCGCCCCACCGATAGCGACAGAAAGGTCTCAATTAGCACGAAATCATCAAAAAAGGGTTATATACAGTTCATAATTCAGCGCATTGTTATTACATTTTAATCTTTTTTTCGCAATTCGTTGGCTTACTTCGTTATCCAAATGGGATATGCGTCATAATTTTAAATCTGTTCAATACAACTCCAAATCCCCATTTATTTTCCGTACAATATTATTAAGCATTTCATGTACATGTTTTCATTTTTTTGTTTTATTATTATAAACGTAATACATTTAATTAATATTTAGAAGATAATAAATCTATTTAAATTTTATTTGTTACGCTTTGATTCTGGTTTTATGATTTTGTTTGTATTATTTTCTTATTGTTGCGATTTTTATTTTTTTTTTTTTTATTACTTTTACCATTCACAATTTTTAGGTCATTTTATATTGTTCATTTTTGCTTGGCTCTTAAAGTACTTATCAATACCACATGGTAACGACGAAACTTAAAGAATGGGACCTTTACCATTTATTTATCTGTGTAAATTTTATAACATGATTTTTCATGTTTTATTTAATTTTTGTTTGCTACAGCTTTACATTACATTTATTGGTATTTATACAATTTTTCATACGAAATGCGTGAAGACATCAAATTGTGGATCAAATGGTTTATCTATAAAGTATTTACTACGGTTTTTTTTTTATAATTTTTTTGTTTGGTGAGAAGATCGTTGGTCTAACAAACGCAACATGCAAGTGATTTTGTCACGGATACTGATGTGGTCTGACGTATGATGGCTTGACTATATAATGTATGAATACGATAATCTGATTGGTTCAATTTGCAATATTTTTAGGGCACATGGGAATCGTTTTGTCTTTTTGACAGTCCTGTTATATATATTTTTTTATACAATCATGATAAACGGAAAGAAATGAAATTAATAGAAGACTAGCAATAAATGTGCTGGTCTGGTCTATACCTGGATTGTACATACAACTATGTGCCTAAATGGCAAAAATTCTTATTTTCTCAACATCTCTTTACATCCACTAAGTCTATATTTTAGTTATTAGCTTTTCAATTTATTCTTTGCTTTTGTTTTAAGGTTTTAAAGTCAAAACACTTGTTGGCCTATGCATTTTCAGTTATGGCTAACAATATTTAAGATATAACATAAACAATATTGGCTATGCAATTCAAAAAACATTTGTAAAGTAGAATTAAAATTTTTTTCATTAATAAGAACATAATATGTTGAGGGTCGGAATATGATTATGAAAAATTCACAACCGTAAAATTATTTTTTGAAAAATTATATCCGATTTATACCATAATATAGACATTGTTTTGACTTTTACCCCGAGACCCTCATAAAAAATACAATTCTCTCCTACTTACAAGCGGCATTTCCAAACTAACATCTCTTTTAAGTTTAATTCTTAGTTATAGATACTTTGTAAATTTGTAAAATAGTAGCAAAGTAGTATCTTTGTAAATTGTATAAACTGTTTTGAATGATTTTGACAACGCGTATAGCCTTTTACATTTTTCATTAGGTTACTTCTGTATGAAGTTCACTTTACACAATCAAATGTTTGCGCTTAGACTTGCCTTTTGGTTTAATATAAAAGTAAAATTATACTGAGGAAGTTAGTGTAAAATACAAAATAATTTCGACTCTATGACAAGAAAATCATCTTGGCATTTGAAAATTTCGCCTACAGTGGATATAATTTTGCAATATTTTGAATTTATACCATCATTATATGTATCTCAATATATGTGGTATTAGATATCTGCACTCTCCATGTTAAAATTTATTTTTCTGGATTTATAAACATTTTCATTTTCATCTTCCTAAATATTTATTTATTTTCTTCAAGTCATCTTCTTTATTTAATTAATTATGTATTTTGTAGTTATAGTCTTATAGCAGAACACATAAGGATTTTTTAGGTTTCTTCTGTTTCTTTTCGGGCGATTTTTTATTAATCTGCCTAACCAGATCATAGAAAATATCATTAACATTGACTTTAGCTTTGGCAGATGTCTCCATAAAGGCGCAGTTAAATTGTGTGGCCAGACTTTTTCCCAGTTCTTTACCTACAACGCGCTCATCCTCCAAATCGCATTTATTACCTACCAGCACCATTGGAACGTCATCTGTATCTTTAACACGTAATATTTGCTCTCGCAGATCTTGCAGATCATTAAATGTTGATTGTGCTGTTATGGAATATACGAGAACGAAACCTTGACCGTTTTTCATATAGAGATCACGCATGGCCGTAAATTGCTCTGTGCCTGCAGTATCCAGTATCTCCAGCATACATTGTTGACCGTCTACTTCCACCTGCTTACGATAACTGTCTTCAATTGTGGGATCATACTTTTCAACGAATATGCCTTGCACGAACTGCACGGTAAGGGCAGATTTTCCTACACCTCCACTGCCCAAAACGACAATTTTGTACTCACGCATTGTGGTAGTTGTGGGTGTATGTACTAATTATTTCGAATAATTTCTTAACAAAGGAGATTTCAGCGATTGGTGTGTAGTCGAGTTCTATAAATGATAACGTAGGGACAAATTTCTTTGTTGTCGTAATCACAGTAACAGATTCACACACTTTTTTATACTTCGTTTTTTTTTTCTCGTGCTGTTGCTCTTTAGTCTCCGATATAACCGCTTCTTTTTTATGCTTTATTTGCACTTGATATTATAGTTATCACTGCATAGATTTATTCTGGAGCTGGAAATGCCAACAGTAACAACTAAATCACCATAAAATATAAACAAAAATATATATATAAGTTTAATTACAACTTATTTTGTTAATTAAAATTAAATTAATTGATTCATTACAACCGTACTGTTCAGCTTAACTTCAACTTCATCATGCTAATATGACTCATGTTGTCCCTTTTAATTTTACCTTCGTTCTTCCAGCCGCGGTTGCTGCTGCCGTCAGCGCTGCTTTATGCACCTCCACAATAGTTTTAAATTCCCTCAAATTCAGTGACTGCGCCTCTCCGCTGGGTTTCACTGTTGCTGTTAACTGAGGCGTATGCCTGTTTTCTGTTGCTACCTTCTTTCTGGTCGTTCGTTCTTTTCAGCGATTGCTTTGGTTCTTTTATCGGCTCGTATCTTTTCAAAATGAATAATGTCAAATAACACTACCCAAAGTTAACTAGCGAATCAACTGACCTGCTCCGAAGATCGAGCACAAAATGGAATGTGAAGATACAATTTCTGTGAAAAAGATATGGCGGCTTAGATTCCGAAATTTTTTTTAAACAAGTTGCATAGATCAAACACGGTTGCTTTATCTAAGATGTACAAATCGTCCTTATTTCACTTATTGTTAATATTTTTATAATCAAAACCACGTATTATTACCACAAAATTTTCTGTATCTTTGCACGACGCGTCACAGCAAGGTTGCAACCGTTACCAACGAGGAAAATGACAGCAAAAAGTAACGAGTAACGATGGTAAAATACCGATAAATGCCATTTTATCAGCGATGTAGCGTTTCTCAAAAATTTTTTGCTGATACCAGAGAACGTTTTATTCAACGTTCTCTGAAATCGCGACACAGAATTCTTATGAGTTCTTTGCTATTAGTTCCGTACGATATTGGACTATTCACATTTACCTCGTACGGAGCAGACTATTATTATTCCAAATTTTCTGTTGATATTCTAGATATTCATTTGCAAGTTATTCCTTGGTAAAACATTAAAATTAACAATTCAAATCATCAAAAATATATATATATATAATTTAATTGCACCTCAAAAAGTAGAAGAAATTTTATTCATTTATTTTTGACATTTTTAAAGTCTTAATATTAACGTATTTTTGTAACCATTCCCGCTGCAATGGTGACGCCGCCCACTCTCAACATAAAACGACCCAATTCTTTAAATTCGGCGTATCGTTCAATACATATGGGACGAGTTGTTTTTAATTCCACTAGAGCGCAAGAATTATTGCCAAGAACTCGTGGTTTCTTTTTAATAATCTCCCCTGTACTTTTATGCAGTTGGGCGTGCAGTTTACTTAACACTGCTGGTTCTATAAGAGATTGGTGGTGCAAAAGTACAGGATAGCCAATCGTAATCGGCACAGTCACGTTAAAGACAAGAATCCGTGCTTGGAAGCGAGTTGTTACTGGAATTGGATTTTGGGGGTCGCAAATTATGCAACCAACAGATACCGTAGACATGTCCACGCCTGCTAATGTCACCGATACCTGATCTCCAGCAAACGAATTCGTTTGAGGAATCTCGTCGATTTGAATTCCTTTGGCTTGAGCTTGCTCTCGACTAGCACCAACCAGCACTCGGTCATTTACACTAAGTACACCAGTCTCGATACGACCTGATATGCAAAAGCCGGAACCGGTGCCTTTGTATATATCCGACACAGACATGCGAAACGGGCGATCAATCGATCTTTCGGGCAATTTGAAATTATCTATTACTTTTAATAAATGTGGTCCTTTATACCAAGCAGTTAATGAAGGCTCTTGCGCAGGTTTTGACAAATTTTCACCACTTAGACCAGAGCAGGGTATAAAGGTAACGTCAGATTCTTTGAAACCTGCTTGTCGTAGAAACGTTTTTAATTTTCCAACAATTTCGTCAAATCTGTCTTTGGACCAATCGACCATGTCCAACTTATTTATGACCACTCCTAATTGATTAACGCCCAATGAGCGCACTAATAGAGCATGTTCTCGTGTTTGTCCTCCTTGCTCAAATCCTGCCTCAAATTCACCACGCGATGCGTCCACTACTAAAAGGGCAACATCGGCCTGCGTAGCACCAGAAATCATGTTTGGAATAAAGTCTTTGTGCCCAGGGGCATCAAGAAGAGTTACTACTTTAGTGTCAGTTTCGATGCGTGAATATCCTACATCCATGGTGATACCTATAAAATATATAATTATTTACTTCAAAAATACAATTTGCAACTATAGATAGATAGATAGATACCTCTTGACCTTTCTTCACCAGTTTCATCTAGGACCCAAGCGTACATAAAACTTTGTTTACCCATTTTCTTAGATTCCTGTTCATGTTTGTGCATAACTCTTTGTGAAACATAACCAGTATCAACTAATAAGTGACCCATTAAAGTGCTTTTTCCTGGAAAATTAATGAAGTAGTAATTACAATTGTATGTACGTATTATGTATTCATAAGTGTACATACCTGCATCTACATGTCCAATAACAATCATGTGAAAATGAGCTTTCAGTTCGCCTCGCTCCTGTGAGTACAATTTTCGAGCGTCACGTTGTGCTTGTTCTTTGGATACTTTAACATTAGCAAGGGTTTTATTGACATCTTCATCAACGGGCGTATTTCTTCCCGAAACAGTTGGTGACGACTGCGGCTGCGGAGAATTGACTTCAAATCCTCGACGTATGCTGCGTTCACTCAGAGGTTGTGCTGTTACTTTTATTATAGGGGGTGCTTGAACATTGGAAAAGGTTTCACGGTCCGATGTTAATTTTGAAGCTGTTGATGTAGACGGTTGCAAAGCGTTTCTCTTTGATGAACTACTTACACCCGTTTGTTTATATCGTTTAGCTTTATTGTCACATTCGTTATTAAGGATATCATCGAGTATTTTCGTTATATCATATTCGAAGTTAATTGAAGTTTCTACCATCCTTCGTTCAGATACTTGATCACCTACAACGTTGCGAATTTCATCAATACATGATGTTAATTTTGCTTGGTCAACATCATTTAACTTAGGTATTTGAAAGTTATCCGAGTCACGTCTATCCTTATCGTATGTTACGCTATCATCACACACATCTTCTTCCTCTTCTTCAATATCTTTATTATTTTTGATAAAAGCAGACATACTATGTTGACCACGGGCTCTGTCGTATAACCACTGAGCATCTGTCGGTGAAATACAATTATCATCGTCAACGGAATGGCCATAGACATCATCGTAACCTTAAACAAAATATATTTTACATATTAGCCCATAACGTTCAAGAATAGAAATAAACCACTCACCATCATATTCATCATTATAGTCCATGGCCCGCACAATTCTGTGGCGCGACATTGTGACAGAATACTATATATTTTACGCACAACCTGAATTTCACAAATATCTTTAGGTGTCAAATTGTAATAAATAGTTAGGTAAATTTGCGAAATTTTGCCACCACATCGAAAACAAATCTAAAAACGAATACTCGCAGCAAATGTAAGGCATGCTAGGTGAAAATTGACAGTAAACCTTGTTGCCAACACTTTCAAGAAGGGTAGCATTCGACCTTTAACCCTCTTGTGCATTTTAATAAATATAAAGGTACTGTCATTCATAGCATTTAGTTAAACAAAAATGTCAATGCAAATTTAATATTTCGCTGATATACAGCAAAAGCAGTTGAATTTTGTTTATTAAGAATAGTTTCACTAAGAAATATTTTCAATAACGTTGCAGGTTTTCGCATCTTCATCTTCATCATTTGTTGCACGTATACTAAAACATTTAAAATAATAATTTATTATTGCTTGCCTTAGTTATATTACAATAATATTGTATGATAAATGTCCAAGAGAGGATTAAAGTTTCATAAAAAATTCATATTTTTGGTTTTAACATAAATACTTCGTTATTTAAAACATAATTTCATAATCATTTCATAATTATCAAAAAGCTTTTGTGACAATATTCAAATCCTTTGACATAATATAATAATTTATAGTGCAGCAGTAATATGATAGTAGTTCTGCAATTATGTTGACTGCAAAATGCGTGAAATAAATAAATACATGTTACTTTAAGCAAAGAACGTAAATGAATATACGTTCTTTGTTTGCTTTAAGAAACAATTGCTAGCTTAACCTCACGTTTCCACAAACTATCAGCGATTACCTATAAACTATTATTTTGATAGATAATTGCCAGCAATTTGATTGCAAGTTGGTGTATGTGGACACTTTGAGTTTATAGCGTAATAAATTTTAAAATCGTGCAAATAAAGCATATTCTGTGTATTAAAGCTCCTAAACAGTTTTTAAACTAATGATCTTGCTGATTGGGAAGTAAAGGAAGGTGGATCAGTTATCATTTGTTTAAATACTTTGTTTTCATTTCATATGCAAATATCAATGATGTTGCTACCGGCAAGTTTTCCCTTAAAAGATGTCAAAGAAAAATCTGATAGCTGATGGCAGGCAATAAATTTCAAGCCATCTCAAGTAATAAATACTCTTTTACGTCGGTGAGTGCTGGGGCTACATAAGCTTGTTTAATTGTCAGTAGTATTTCGTTTTGTACTGTTTTTCTTCTTTAGAGAACGTAATTAATTTACGTTCTCTGTACATAACAAAAGCGAATAGGAAATTGAAATTGTCGCGAGTGCATTGTATTGAATATTTTTCAAGAATAGTTACGAAAATAATTAGATAATAATAATTAAGTTTTAAAAGTGTTTTGAATATTTGTTTCCAGTTTAAAATCAATTTGCAGAAACATAAATTAATATACATATATCTGAAACTTCTTGTGCTTGAAATAAAATAGGAGTACCCACACAGATTAATAGTGAGGAGAAATTTCAAGTCAATGAGTGTACACCTTAAAATATGTAGAAAAGATTTCCATATAATTCTGAAATATGTTACCAGTAACTTAAAAAAAACAGTGAACAGCTTAAACAAAGTTTTATAGTTGGTGTTCTGTAAAAATACTTGTATTATCTATGCAAAAATAGAAAATATTAAGAAAATATCGTAATAAACATAGGGCGGTTAACACCAAAGTTAAAAGATTTTGCACCAAACACGTCCTACAAACAACTATATTTTGCATAAAGTTACTGGTTTCTATATACATTGCGAAAATAAAATGCAGAACAATAGCAATTCTAGCCGTCAAGGTAAAGAAAAACGTTTCTCTATACACGACGCATTCGAAGAGGAGACAGACGAAGCAATACGGGTTTATGGCTCAACAGTGATATCTACGCCTATGCGTGCAAAACAACGTTCAACAGACGATGTATCCATCCGTATTCAGGATCCAAAGTGAGTTTTGAAAAATTGAACTTTGAAATAAAATATTTGTATATATCTGGTTTATTAGGCAGATGAGCAACCATATGTACATATGTATGGTCATAAGTATGTCATTAAGATGAAATGTTATTTAAGATGAAATTAAAATCAAAGACTTATTAATTTAATTTTACTAATTTCGGCATAAGTATGTAGAAATTAACAGAAAAATTTTCCAACATTCTACTTCTTTTTTAGAACCGTAATTAATTTTAAATATTTGAGGAATTTCATAGGAATGAGAAATATTTATAATTTCATAATATTAGGAAATATTTATTGAAGAATGAAAACATCATAAATTTTGTAGTAAAAGCGCCTTCCATCTAATAGAAAATATGGAAGGCATCGCGATCGATATTTCTTTGGCAACCACCTATTCGTTGTGGCTTGCCGTTCTAAAAATATTTACTTTTACAATATTAATATAATTACAAAATAAATGAGATGTTTCTTGTTCCCAAAGCTCGAACTATCATTGGGGTCATTGGAGTCAAAATACCAATCGAAGATTCGTGTTGGGATAATCTAAATGTTTTGTTTAATGTTGCATTGTTGATTTCATCATTTTATGCCGTCTATAATTAATAAAATAAATAATAAATTCGCAGTACACAATATTGTAAAGTATACCAAGCAACAAGGGGGGAAAAATGCAATAACTTTTATTATAATACCAGGAAGTGATCCACTTTAGGTGAACCTGCAGTATGTACTTGTACTTTGTCCTTACAAAATCATTCGTGGGGTAGACGAATCACTTTTTAATGCCCGTTTAATATGTCAATGCTTCACGTGTTTACTCTTCAACTCGCCAGCATCAACGTCACTATATATACATAATCATGTGTATATGTTAACGTTTGTATATGAAGGTATAAATTACATATATTATACACCTATTTGTAGATGTATTCGCACAATCCAAGTGGCCCCGTTCATTCTGTGGCCATCCGGTGAGTTCATTAACTTTTAAATCATTGCAAATGCAACGTAAATGAAAGCAAATAAAAAAAGGGAAAAATTATATACGTACTGTATATATGTTGTACATCTATGTGCATACATATGTATATACGCGTGCATTTCTAAAGTACAATGAAATAAAATAAATAAAAAAACTGACAAATTTTGTTTACAATTCATTAATTGGTGGCTACTGTGCTTGTGCTTGCCGCTCGCAATGCTGTAATAATTGTTTTCAGCTTTTATAAAAAAAATCTTATCGCCGTCCCGATAGCCTACCCATAACACATTATCGTTGAGTTGAGTTATGATGGAATTGGAATTGAGCAGGGGTCCAAGTAGATAGGAAAAATCATCTGGGATCAGAATTGACTATATTGTATTATATTATAATCTAAGCTTATATCTAAATAATACCAATTCTTGTCATATGTTTGTAATTCTTTTCTTCATTTTTGATCTTTGATCCTTTGTCCAATTCCGGTAAGCAAAAGATTCCATTTAGGCATATCCAACGGAAAATTAACTAAATGGAACCATAAATATATATACATATAATGCAAATATATATACATATATCGGTACACGTTCGTAGTTATATGATGATTAAGCCTTGCCTACATATTTTTCTCAAAGGTTCTAGGCTATCGCTGTTAGATAAGAGATTCACAGTTTAAATACAGGCAAAGGAGATTAAAGAAGACTTATTTGTATTAAAAAGTAAACTAGGGTAATACGGCCTTAATGCACTCGGTGTTGGAATTCTTCTTTGAGTGCCGGATCCTGATCTTAAAAATATGTGCAGAATATATCTCAATCTCACGGCCGCGGTAGCCGAGTGACATTCGGAAGGCTCGGGTTTATATCCTGGTGCCACCAACATCCAGTTAAGGAAAACTAATTTAAACACAAAATTAAGTTAAATTTTTTTTAATTGCAGTCGCCTTCGGCAGGACATGTCAACCTCTGAGTGTATTTTTGACATGAAATAAATGCTCCTTATAAAAATACAATCAGCCGTTCGGAGGCGGCTTAGTATAAAGTGTAGGTCCCTCCATTTGTTGGAAAAACATCAAGACGCAAAACCACAAATCAGAGGAGGAGCTCGACCGAAAAATCGCTTCAGCGGTTACTGGGCGTCAATTATATATATCTCCACGGCCGAAAGCTTGCATGCTTGCTTGTCTAGAGGCTTAAAAGCACCAGGGCTGTCTGAAACACGTCAGTTTCTCAGTGGTGTAAGCTTAGTCACCCCCACTCAAACGGACTCCACCCGATACATTTACAAGGTTGAAAGTGAAATGATCATAACGCCCACCTCTCTCTCCTACCACCCCAAGCTTAGACAACTCCACGAAGAGTAGTTATACTTCACGAATTTATATGAAATAATTAATTTTTGCCCTTAGTTAATAAAAAATAATGATTTTTGTACTTTTCAAAGATACTACTCTATTGACGTGTGCTCCATAATTTTATCACCATTTATAATTTTATAATAATATCGATCTTATGGACATTTGATGTCTTTTTCTGTACATTACTGGTTCAAGTACAAATTCGCAGAGATGTGCTAATTATTGACATTGGGTGTGCATACATTACCACATGCGCATATCATGTTAATAAGTTTATAACAGCGGTTAGCCCATTGTAGCCGAGTAAGAAGCAGTGCTTATTACTGACTGGAGGGTAACACCCTCCACTACATCAACATACGAAATATCGAAAAAGTTGTTTTTAATGCAGTACATTTCTGAAGTGGAAATTATAACATTGAGAGTGATAATAAAATATATGTATGCAATTGGTTCAAATCTGAATGTGAATTATTTGAATGAACTCGATCAGCAGAAGGCAATTTGGCAGTAGGCAAGCAAGAACAAACAAGAAAACAAGAAAGATAGTTTGTCAACACATGCGAACGAATGCAAGGAAATTGAACGATAAATACGATTTTTAAGAACCAGTTGCTGTATGTTAATCTAAACGATAAGCAAACAGCAAATTAAATTTCATGTGAATGGTAACTAAGATTATCTCTTATGAATCGGTGCCGGAGAGTCTCTTAACAAAGCTAAATTTTATTTCGGTCTAAAACTAAAAACTATAAATTGGGTTTCTGATTGAGCAGATCGCATATGTACTAAAAATTACACACATGTCTCGTTGTGAGTGTTATTTTTTCTCTTATTTGGATACAATATATCTAATCTGCATAATTCATTAAAATCACAATTGTCATAATTGCTCGGATTTTACGCACGTAAATGCAAGGAAACGGATACCGTATCCGCACGGGCTTGCCTTCCAACAAAGCTTCTGCTTACACTTAAGTCAGCGAATGATGCCGTCTATCGGGTTATTGAATAGACATAGCCAATTAAACATCTGCTCGGTGACCCTTTGCACACTTCCGCAAATTTTTATATATATTAATCCAAACCAGAGAAATGATTTTTTTTCGAATAGTTCGGTTCTAGGTACTATTCCTGGAAACAAAATTGAGGTTCCTGCTAAACAAAGCACAATGTTGCCTATGTATCCCATTCAATTAAATCGAACTATAAATTCAAGTTTTTCGAATAGATCGATTACAGGTCATCTTCCCGGTGTGAAAAATAGATGTTAGCCGATTCTCAGACCAACTGAATATGCACCCAAAATTTCACTAAAATCGGTCAATCCGTTTCGGAGAAGTATCCTGTCTAACACTCTGATACAAGAATTTCATTCATTCATTTCATACGGACATTTTCCCGTAGAAGACGTCACAAGAAGGCCGACCAAAATCTTTCACTGCTGATGCTACTGTAGCTCTGGTGAAGTCCAAAATCGACACAAGAAATGATTGCTATTCGAATTGGGCTTGAATGCATTTTGCTCAATTTTTCCCAAACAAATTCGAAAATGGTCAGTCTAGCAACTTTAGTAATGTCGTTACTAGTGGCGAATCTTGGTTCTATCGATCCAGAAACTAAACAGCAGTCCATGGTATGGAGCTCAACAGGAGTATACCCACCCGTAAAATCTAAGCAACAAAAATCAGCAGCAAAAGTCATGATGTCAGTTTTCTTCACCCGATCTAAAATCGTAGCTGCTATTCCCCTGTTGCCAAAAGTTTTCAAAAATTTGTTATAAAACAGAAATAAAGATGATTTGCGGCGCTACTTTTGAGATTATGAAAATGCGCAATCCCCCACCGCTGAACGAGTAATTTTATTGCGATTTTTGGGATCGAAGAAATACCCCGGATATAGCTCCTTGTGATTTCTGGTTATTTCCAAAATTTAAAGGAAAAGGTCTTTAATAGTAACGAGAAGATAATTAATGCAGTTACGTTACGATTCGCATCATCTTCGAAGAACTACGGTCCAATGATGCCATTAGCCCATAAGCCGCTGATAAAACTTCTTAGTGAATTTGAGGCAGCAGCATCTTTATCCACTGGACAATGTCAGGAGAAGTCAAACCGCTGATGTCAACTAGTGGTCATATTGCTAGTTCGTCATCATTCGTAATTATTGGAAGATTATCCTGATCTTCATTTATAAAATCAGATTTTTGAAGCAGTTGAGAATCGTTAGATCGTTGTTACAGAGCTTCAACAGCTCGCAGTAAACAATTTCGTTGCGATAGAACGTATATAAATTACGGACGAACGGACCCCCTTATTAATGCATAATTTTTAGACGTTCGATTGCAAAGGTAGAATAGTTGGAGAATTTAAGAGTACTGTTGTGTGCAATGTAATTGTCTAAAAAAGTAAATTTTTCTGCTTTTCATCGTTTATTAACTGTAAAAATCTATTTGTTAAAAAATCCGGTCGTCATCTAAGTCTTTTTTCTTAGCGAGATAATCAGTTGGATACGATTTAATCCTTCGAAACTTTCCGGTTTCATTCGTTTTTCTTTTACTAAATGTTGTTAGTTTTACCGATCCATCGATTTTTACTGCTCTCAAGTCTTCAATTACCTTACCAAACTTTTAGAGATACAACTCCA